AGGCACCGATCGGTTTTCTATCGCCCATTTGCTGGGAGTAAGGGCGCCCTCCGTTTGCGAGGTGCGCCTGTTGCTTGCAGCTCAGGGAGGAGAGGTCGGGGCGGCGGGGGAGTCTCTGGCTGGCTGGAGCAGCATCTAATAACCAACTCACAAAATAAAACAAAATAAAAACAAACCAACAAACACGAAAACACCAGACATTATAATACAGATTTATAATTTGCACTGATGTTTTTTCGAAATTCTATACACGAAAAGTGAGCGCGAGAGCCCTGGTGTGTCTGCTAGCTGCTGAAGTCAAAGTAAACTTTATTGTCATCTCCCATACAGTACAGTATATAGAGAGACGAGGCTCCAGTTACAGCAATGCAAGTAAACAATATATATAGGAAGAATAAGAAAATAAATATACACTTTAGGACCAGGGGTAAAGGGATCAATAACAATTTAAAATTTATAATTTACAGTTTGATGATTTAAAGTCTCACACACAACCCATCGAAAGGGGAGGGAGACCTGCTGCTTCCAAATAGAGCACATTTCAATCACAATGCTGTAAACTAACTAAGCTGTAACTAAGGTGTAGGTCTGGGGCGCCAGAGGGAGCGTTCGCCCAGGGCGCCAAACAGGCTAGGACCGCCACTGAGCAGCAGCAGTATCATTTAGTGAGAATAATGTGGATATATTACACATATTTGATGTGATTTTTGTCTTTTTCTTCAAAATAAACCTTGTGCTTTTGTCACAAAGTAGTTTGTTTTTTGGGTTTTTTTTTTTTTACTATAGAATAAAACATAATAAAGATAAATGTAATTCACAGTAATAATGTCAGAGGCTGGGTTTCTTTGTTTTGGTACTGAAAGTGAAACTTCCGATCATCACCTGAACGCGGCATAAGTTTCTTCTTTGCAGAGAGTCAGACAGAAACGAAACTGAAAAGAGTGCTTTCCGGTTTAGGGACTCTCAAGAATTTACCTACAGAAACAAGACGAAGAAATCTGTAAAGACTGCATTATCTAACCAACTACTGACCTAAACGGATTTTTATAAAACCGGGTAATATTTTACAAATACAAACGTACATGTTAGATCAATAATGGGGAGATTGCGGGTAGGCTTGTGAGTCTGAACCTTTGGGGACGGTCCCTGTGTGTAGGCGGGTCCATCAGGAAGTTAAGTAAACGTTTGTCTGGCAGATTTTTAGTGTACGACTTGCGAAGCTAACATACAAACAGGTAAGCAAGCACAACATGAACTTTATGTATTTTTGTCTTTATTTAATAAATGTCACTTGGTTATTTCAGATCTTACGGTCATTCTTGTTCTTTTATAAAGTAATAACAAGCGTACTAGATTATTTCTATTGTATTCTTATTACCTTTAATGCCACATGCCTTCTCAGCATGTTTTTGTGCATCTCTGGTACTTTATGGTAGTTTTTACTCCTTGGATTAGACTTTATGATGCTATTTTGTCAAAATATGATGCTGTCATTTACTGTTTTACTTAATTTTATCATAAATTAATTGTTATTATATTCATTTGTACTGCTGATAAGATGGGGCAACCTAATAGTGTTTTTATGACTATAAAGGAAGTCATTGCAGAGTGTGTGCCATGATATGCTGTGTGCAGTATTTTTAAGGTATTTCTGCTCTTATGAAGAAGACCAGTTGCACTAATTTTGCCAGCCCCTTATTAACTCTAATGCAACAACCTTGACTTGAATAGTAAGCCTCACAGGGATTAAAAGCTGTAACTGTGCCTGTATTTTTATATTTAAAGACAGTTCCCGCAGAGCAGGGGCTCACCTGAGAAAGGTGTCCCTACAGATGGAGGAGGGGGGAGGACACCCCCACTGTGCCAGTGGGCAGCAGGTGCAAACCAAGGAAGCAGAGGATTCTGCAACCAAAAGACCACGGAAGACAAATACGGTAGAAATGCAGTCACAACAAACAGCTTTCAGGGCCCTGTTAGTGGTGTTTGAGCCGTCGTGAAATATATAAATGAATGTGTGTTCCAGGAACATGGAGCTGGAAACCCAGGCAGGAACAGTCGAGAGAAGGAGAGGAGAAGAAGGAGAAATCAAAGAAGAAAAAATGCTAAAGGAGAGGCAGATGTCAAAAGTGAAAACACACAGAAGGATCAGAATAAGGCTATGGAGACTGAAAGCAGCCAAACTCAGGACAGCGAGTCTTTAAAAACACAGCCTGAGGTTCCCCAGACTCAAGACAACTTGCAAAAAGGGGAAAACAGCGGCGAACAACCACAGAAAGATCCTAAGATGGTGCAAGCTCAGACTCAAACAAGGAAGCTCAAAGGCTCAGATAAAGTCACACAGACTCAAGTTGTTACTCAGAAGAATCAGGAAACACAGACAGACTTTCCTGTGCCAAAACAAGACGAGGGAAAGGGTGAAAAGACTCAACCCGCCACAGAGAAAGCTGCTGAGGTGCAAGAAGATCAGAAGAAGCACACATCTGGACCCAAGCTGCAAGGAGACAGCTCAGTTCAGACTCCATCAGAGCAAAATCCAGAAGGAGGAGCATCATCAGAGCCAGCCAAGGAGCAAAGAAACGAGAAGGAGTCAAAGCCTAAACAGGAGAATCCCTCTGCAGAAGGTTCAGGTGGTGCATCTCAAACTGAAGAAGGTGCCAAACAGAAGTCTTATGCCAAAGCTGTGGCTGGAGTTGGAGGGAGTGACAAACAGTCCACCGTGGCAGCCACTAACACGGCAGAAAAAACATCCCAAAGCACACGGTAAGACTGATTTTAACTGTTTATTTAAACTCTGGAGCTGAAGCTCACATTTGAATGTTTATCTTTTTCACTCACAGTGATCGAAGCCCAGTGAGACCTCCACCCGGAGTGCCTATGTTCACCTTTCACATCTACGCTGTGCTGGACAAAGCGTTTAGATTCAACCAACAACTCGACAGACTTGTGCTGGGTTTTGAACAAATGCATTTGCCCTTCGAACTGACACACTTTGTGTAAGTATTTATAAATATGTACAAGCTGTAATTCACAGAATATAAGCATGCTTCAGTTGCATATCGAGCCTTTGCAACATTTCTGAATTGACATTTGTAATAAGTAAAATAATACTAAAGAACTTTTCAGAAACATGTACAAAATTACCCCAAAAGTTATTTAATTTTTTTTTATTACTGACACAGTCCTGAAATAATCACACAGAGCTCATATCTGTGAGTGTGTTAACTCCATGTAACAGCTGCTGCATCTTCACAGAGTGAGGTTAGCAAGCAGCTTCATGGTCAGCAAAGAAACTGAATGAGAAAAGAGAAATTGTGGATGTAGATGATGGAGTAGATTTTATAGTGGAGACCTAGCCAGAGCTTCAAGGACAGGATTAAAGCAAAGCATGTTGAAAAAGGGCGGAGAATTTACTAATGGATGGAAATCTCTTGTTCAATGTTTTATGTTTAGTGGAGTAAAGGGAGGCTATCTGGTGGAAGCTCGCCTCTGTGTTGAAGAAAGAGATTTAGTACGAGGTGCGGTATGGTCTTATTGGTATGGTGTACATCAACGAGATAAAGCGATTTGGGGAATGGCCATGAGGCGTGTTCAAATTCCTTTAAACCCAAGCATTAAAGGTAAGGAAATCTATCATCTATATTAATGTCAGCCCACCAGTGTTGGTTCCAGTCTTTTTGCATAAACTGATCACATGTCGATGTTTTATGCAGAGCTTCATCTTTATGAAGGATTCATTTGCCGTGACAATGTACCACAAAGTGTTTGGCAAAAAGGTCTCCACATGTTTGGCTTGAAGAACTCAAAAGGTGTGGAGATTTCAAATGCCTGGCAGTCCTCAGCTACAACTCTGCTGAACACAATCTTCCAGAAATGGACTCCATCAGATAAACAGAGCACTGAGAGCTTGTGTCAAAGTTTGAGGTATTTTATAGAGAGCCTCGGTTCTGCTCACGATAGGATGGCATACCCAGATTATTCACATCCTCCTCAGGTCAAGGTGTGTTCAGCGAAAAGAGAAAAAAAGAAATTATCTACAGTAGCTTCTATAAACCACCATTAATACATGATTTGATTTTCAGGTGTCAGAGCTGATTTCAGAGAACTTGCTCCAGATCTTAAAAGGAGAGCCGAAGGAGAAGCTCCCGAGCTCCTGCAGGGACACTAGTCCTCTCGTTCTGGGGCTTTCTGTTTTCATGGTTACCCAAAGTTGTAGCATTAACCTTGGAGTTAAAGGCTGGGCTGAGCTGTGTCTCCTGGTCTCACGGTCTGCACTGGACAACAAAAACCTGGATGGGTTGCAGAGTTGTTTCACATTCACACAACAGTAGGTTTTTACAATCTTTAAGAAAAGTAATTCTTGGCCTGGTTAGACATTATCTTGGTGTGCTGATTGAGGTGTTGACATTTGAGCTTGTATCCTCACATGGTTCGGTTTCCCCCTCAGCACGGTGCTGGGTCTGATAAACCGCTGTGTCCAGTACATGGTGGCAGAGGTCGTCCTGCTCGTTCCTCTCCTCTTCAGACTCAGACAGCCTGGAGCTGATGCAATGAAACTGGGTCCCACTGTTGAAGAAGAGAACTGGTCTGGACTACAAGGCATCAATTTCAGTGGATTCAGAGAGAGTATCCAGTTCTACTCTGACAAAAGAAGGTGAGTCTGTCTCAAACCCATCGTAGCTTTCTTTATTTCTCTGAAGTGTTGATCAGATTTACTGAATTATTTTATTTTCCATCCACAGGAGGATGCTCTCTCTGATCCAGGAGCACTTATCACTGGCTACAGAGACGCCTCTGCTCCTGGTGAGCTGGTTATCTCTGGTTGCATTTGACGACCTTCCTGAATTTCCAGACCTGACAGGAGTATCTGCAGAACAGCTGATCCAGAGTCTGTTGTACAGACTGAGAAAATGTGGTGAAAGACCAGATTTAAAGAAAGACGAAGAGAATTTAAAGGTGAAAAAACCAACTAACTAATATAAACTTGCAAAATGACCTTGTTCCACCTTTAATACAGTCTGAGATCACTTTTGTTCTTCCTACATGCAGCACGCTCAGAAGTGCTTTACCCACATCCTGCTGAAGGTAGACAGAGAGAAGGACAGGTAATGACACCTGAAATGTGCTTCATACATTCTGGTGTTGTGCTTTTTCTAACTTTAACTTTGTCTCTGCAGAATTATTGAAAGTGAAACCATCAAACATGCGCTCGCGAGCAGCATCGATGTTGCAAAGAACACGTGCCGCTTAGTGCGAATCGTCCCGTGGTACCAGGCCATCGTCCTCTCCTACCAGCTGGTGCTGAAGGTGGCAGCGATTTTGGAGGCTAAACTGAGAAAAGAGGTAAAACCCTTCATGTTATATGTCCCATAATGCCTCAGTGTGGTCTGTTATCTTAAATTTGTTATCTTTGTTTTGTGTCTTCTAGTCCAAAGAAGATGAGTTTGAGACCTTAAAGCAGCAGCTTCTGAAGGACTTGTTTGCAACGCAGGACCGAATCAGACAGAGGAGAGACGAACTGCTTCCAAACCCGCTCCTGACATCATCAAAATCACTCAGCTATCCAAAGGAAATCGAGGCATGTAGCAAACACAGCTGATAAAATCAAACTGCGTTACTAATAATGATTTTTAAATGTATTTTTTGTTGGTCAATAATTGCACATTCTAAAGACATAACTGAAATGTAAAAAAGGGATCCTCGATAATGTAACTATAATCTCTTTGCGCTTATTTAAATGTAATCTGGGCTGATATTAGTAACTTATTCTGATTAGATAATCAGAGTTACCCATCAGCCATGCCTCTAACCACTCAGTTCCCCTCGTTTAATGCCTGTGATGAATTCTCAGATGTGGGACGCGCTGCTGAAGGTCGAGGGCTCTTCTGAGGAAGTTTCATCCCGCTGGAGGCGGAGCCTGGAAAAAGACCTGAGGAAGAGGGTGTCCAAGGTCAGGACCCGTGCACCAATCGGTGTCACACCAACATTACTGGTCTCGTTTTAGAAACACCTGAGCTCTATTCTTTCAGACTGGTGTCGGTTCAGCATGTAGATGTTTTCCCTCTGAACTCACCTGAGCTGTTTTAATTTACAGATAAGTGACGAGGACAAAGTCATGCTCTGCTGCCTCGAGTCTTCCCAGACTGCATTAAGTAAAAGCCATGAAGTCATACAGGCCTGTTTGGACGAGCTGTGTCACTCTGCGATCAAGGCAATCTGCCAGGTACACTGAATTAATAAATGACTCGGAGCACAGTTTCAATACTCGCTTTTAAAACCTTTAAAGAGCACTTCCAAACTTATAGACTTTATTTTTCTTTTATCAAACGCGTAGAGATTAAGATGCACTTTTAAGTGTTTTAAGTGAGGAAATGATCACCAGGGTCACAATGTAGAAAAGCAACCGTACTTTCACGTCCAGGTGACCCCGCGCTCTCTCCCACAGTCTGTGTCTCGAGCTTTGACTTGTCTTTTCCCTACATTACACTCAAAAACCTCAGAACAACAAATAATGTAACAGAGAGCTGGTTTAACAAATCAATCAGTTGATAGATATGATTTTAAACGTAACTTTTTATTCTATGGTGCCGAGCTAGGTTTTTAGCAGGTCAAATGTAAGATTTAGTTTTTGTGTATTTAATGATGATCTCTGAGCTACAAAACTGATTCATCTGAACGAGTTTTTGTGAGCTTCTCTCAGTTATTAGAGTTTTATATTTTAAATTCATTTTTATTTATTTTTCAGACTGGTTTAGCTGGTTTCTCGTTCATTTATATTGTTAGTTTATTACATATTAGTTTCACTATATGATATGATAATTTATACATTGTAACAGTAGTCAGGAAAAGATTTAAGGAGTTCGGAGCAGGAAGTACGCACCCAAACTTCACTCACAGTAGTGTAGACGTTCATGTCAGCACAGGCTCCTCAGACTAAGGGCTTGATTTACTGAGTACAAACTATTTAAGCTCAGTCACAGGGTTGTGTGTAAGAGAGAACGCAGAGATTTTTGCACCTGACTCTGTTGTTTATGCATTTCAGAGAGTTCCTCTATCAGGACACCAAAAATAGGGCGGGGAAATTTAAAACAAAGGTGAAAATGACTTGCTGACATTACTGTTTATGACATGCAGTTTACTGCTAACGGCACCGATATTTAATGCTGAAAAAAGCATGTTTTTTGCACTTGATATTGCCTATAACATTGCCTGTGAGCTTTATTTGGAGATCGTGCACACACTGCATTTTGCCCCATTTAGGAAATCTGGCCATTGCTGTCTTTGCAAATGTGACCCTATTAAAAAAAGACTAAAACTTAAGATACATATTTTTTGTTTAAGTTAACTAAAAGGTTCATTTTTAGTTATAATAAACTTTTCTCTCTCAAAATTTGTAATTTTTCTCCAGTAAAATTCTTTTTATGTGAATGTAAAATGTCAGCTTTGAATAAATGTGTGGAGTTTGGACTTTAACAAGACTCACTGGAAAATTCTCCCATTCACATTAACGTCAGTATTGATAATGTATGCTACACTGTAGGGCTGCCACAAACGATTATTTTGATAGTCGACTAATCAGATCATCATCCATTGGATGTAAAAC